CCCTTGTCAAACTCTCTCGGTCAGGTGCAGTTCGAGGCATGCCAGAGTTAACAGCGGGTGAGAAATTCGTTTGTAAAGCATATCAGTTGGGCAAACAGATTAAAGTAAGTCACAAGAAGACAGATGCAGTTCACACTACACGCATACTGGAATTAGTTCACATGGACCTTATGGGACCTATGCAAACTGAAAGTATAGGAGGGAAGAAGTATGTACTAGTGTGTGTGGATGATTTTTCTCGGTTTACCTGGGTTAGATTTCTGCGCGACAAGACGGAAGCTTTCACAGCGTTTAAACATCTGTTCCTTCAACTCAAAAATGGCAAAGGAGCTGTGGCACGAATCAGAAGTGATCATGGACGAGAATTTGAGAATGATGACTTTCATCAATTTTGCTCTCAACAAGGAATTGCCCATGAGTATTCCGCCCCCAAGACACCACAACAGAACGGCGTTGTTGAAAGAAAGAATCGGACAATACAGGAGATGGCGAGAGCAATGCTACATGGTAGAGGCATTGCAACTCGTTTTTGGGCAGAAGCAATGAGTACCGCATGCTATCTTATCAACAGGATTTACCTTCGTGCGGGGCTGCAAAAAACTCCTTACGAGATATGGAAAGGTCGATCTCCTCCCTTTAAATATATTCATATCTTTGGTTGTCCGTGTTATGTTCTAAATGACAGGGAATACCTTGGAAAGCTTGATGCACGAAGTGATGAAAGATTTTTTCTTGGATATGCTCAGAATTCCGCTGCGTACCGCGTGTTCAATCTCAGAACTAAAACGGTAATCGAATCTGCTAATGTTGTTTTCGATGAATCTCTCACTAACTCGCAGATTGTCGAACAATGTACACTTCCATCACCCGCTCCTGCTCCTGCAGCAGAATTGTCTCCCTCAGACACTGCCTCAGTTGACTCGGTTAAGGATGAACTTTCTGATCGTGATGACTCCTCTGATGTTCCAACTACCGTACCTGCTGTTCCATCTGTTCATCGAAATCACTCATCCAGTGATCTCATCGGTGATTTGAATGCCCCACGACAAATTCGACCCAAACAGCGATTGAACTATCAAGATCTAGTCCGATTTGTCTGTTTCAACTCGCAAGTGGAACCGAAAAAGGTAAGTGATGCTCTACATGATGAGTTTTGGGTTCATGCTATGCAGGATGAGCTGGAACAATTTGTACGCAACGATGTGTGGTATCTTGTTCCTCGTCCTCAACATACTAATGTGATTGGAACTAAGTGGGTGTTTAAGAACAAGACAAACGAGTCAGGGGAAGTTGTGCGCAATAAGGCTCGTCTGGTTGCCCAAGGATACACTCAAGTGGAGGGTGTTGACTTTGATGAGACTTTTGCACCCGTGGCTCGTTTGGAATCCATTCGCCTTCTTCTTGGTGTTGCTTGCAGTCTGAATTTTAAACTGTTTCAAATGGATGTCAAAAGTGCTTTTCTAAATTGAGTTTTACAGGAGGAAGTTTATGTGGAACAACCGACTGGCTTTGAAGATCCTCATTTTCCTGATCATGTTTATCGTCTCCGAAAAGCACTTTACGGTTTGAAACAAGCACCTCGTGCGTGGTATGAACGATTGACTTCGTTTCTCCTTGACCACGGGTACAACAGAGGGGGAGTGGACAAAACCTTGTTTATTCACAACGATGATGGTCACCTTCTTGTTGTTCAGATTTATGTTGATGACATTGTCTTTGGATCTACATCATCTCAAAAAGTGGATTGGTTTGTTCAAATGATGACTAACGAATTTGAAATGAGTATGTTTGGTGAGCTCACATTTTTTCTAGGTCTTCAGGTGAAACAAACTGATGATGGAATGTTTGTATCTCAAAGCAAGTATGCTCGTGGACTGATCAAGAGATTCGAACTTGATGGAAGCAAGTCAGCGCGTACACCAATGTCTACTACCACCAAGCTAACTCGAGATGAAGATGGAGAGGACGTTGATGCCAGACTATATAGAGGGATGATTGGAAGCCTGTTATACCTTACAGCAAGTCGACCTGATCTTTGCTTAAGTGTTGGCATTTGTGCTCGCTATCAGGCTAAACCAAAGAAGTCACATTTACAAGCTGTTAAGAGAATCATCAAGTATGTTAAAGGAACTCTGGACTATGGGTTGCAGTACACTAAGGACACGAATTGTGATTTGGTGGGTTTTTGTGATGCTGATTGGGGAGGTCATGCTGATGATCGTCGAAGTACTTCTGGGGGGTGTTTTTTTCTCGGAAATAATATGATCTCCTGGCACAGCAAGAAGCAGAACTCCACTTCGCTATCTACTGCCGAGGCCGAATACATCGCCTTAGGAAGTTGCTGTACTCAGTTGATGTGGATGAGACAGATGCTTGCTGATTACGGTATCAATTTTTCTTTCTTCACTGCTTACTGTGATAATACCAGTGCAATCAACATCTCAAAGAATCCTGTGCAACACTCTCGCACGAAACACATTGAAATTAGACACCATTTTTTGAGAGAGCAAGTGGAGAAGAAGCTTTTGATTATTGAGTATGTTCCCACTGAGCGACAATTGGCTGACATTTTTACAAAACCACTTGATATGCATCGTTTTATACATCTCCAAAAATCCCTCGGGGTTGGAGAGTTTTGAAGTAGTTTTGCTAAAATAGAACTTGCAGTTGAAGAGTGCAGGTCATCTAGATGGAGAAGTCGAGGATTGGTTGCTTCTCTGGAGCTGTACGGCGAACCTGCTAGGTAATTCTCGCTGAAATTTGTATAATGTGTATTCTGATACTCCAATGACATGATAAAATCGTGTTAAGAGTACACTTTGATGGCTCGGGCTTCATTGTACTACTGAAATTTGTCGATAGTCTAAAGGCATAAGACAAATGTCTTAATACTCCGCTGCAGTCCAAATCTACACCTAGCCATTCGAGCATTGTGTGATACTATAATCCATGATGGTCTGTTGTTCTGTTAAAATAAAAATAAAAAAAATAAAAAAAAATAAAAAAAAATAATAACAAAAAAAATAAATAAAAATAAAAATAAAAAATAAAAAAAAATAAAAAAAAAATAAAAAAAGGGGACCCCATGGATGAAGGACTGTATGAGTATACCAGAAAGAGTAGCCTGGATATAAATGGTGAGATTTCAGCAAAAACAACGGTCTAGAAGAAGTCCAGAATACCGAAATTACAATATTTGGATGAGAACTACCTGGCTATCAGTGACGTACTTCTCTCAGCGAACGATCAACCCGGAGACAAGTCCATTTTTGTGACAGGTACTTGATTCTGTATGGTCTCAGATTTCGGTTCTACCTATTACCTTTTATTTAATTTTATTTTTGGTAAAATAATTTTGGCGGTTGAATTGACGCAGAAGCGGGAATTGAAAAATACTTCAAAGTTTTTTTTGAAACTTAAAATCTTGAAAAAGGGAATGTCTATTTAATGAGTGCGAGATTTAAGGAGGCGCCGATTATTAGCATACAAGCACCGGGATATCTCTCTCTCTCTCTCCAGAAACCGACTCAAGAGAGAAACTGTTCTTTTTGAGATTGAAGATGACGAGAAAAAGAGAAAGGAGCATCGCTCAACCCGGGGTTCGCAGATCAACCAGAAGTATGTCAACACAAAATCCGTCATCAGGTATTCTCCAGTTATCACCCATAGTTGAAAAGTCCGAAGCTAGGGTTTCGAAGACAGTAGGGGTATCTGTTGCGGAACATGTACCAGAGGGGACTGATACTGGGAACAAGAAAGAACAACATCGGAAATCAGTGGATGATGCATCTACCTTCATGAAGTTACCAGAAATGGTTGAGAAGTCTACGGATGGCGGTCCCACTGATGAATCTGGAACTCGGGTTCAGGATGTAAGGTCTCCTCGTGGTGGGTACACAAAAAATATGGCAAGGAGGACCATACCGACTGTTCATCTTCATCCAGCATCTCTTGCGGAAAATCCTGTTTCTCCCCGTGAAGTACCAGTTCCTGATCACATGACTACAACACAAGACTCAGAAAAATCTCATCAGGAAGGGGATTGCGAGGTTCAACCAGTCCCTAAGAAGAAACAACCGAGACCTCGAGCCAAGCGAACATCTGTGAAGGGGAATAAAATCTCAGATGATGCCTCTCAAGAAGACGAGACAACTCGTGGTGATGGCCTTCTATCTAATTCGGATGAAAATCCTGCTG